TTCAACTGAATCAGCGGATGCAGTTTCTGCCTTCGGAGTCTTCTTAGAGAACAAAGATGATTTGCTGTCAAAGAACGACGAGAATGGCTGTGGCGAGGAGGGCTTTTCATTTGAATTCGGGTTTCTCGGGGAAGATTTTCTTGACTGTCCATCCTTGCCAACGAAGTTCAGACTCAGCTTCTTAAACCGGCGTTTCAGCTCGCTTGCTGTCATGTTTGATTCTTCTGGCTGCTTCATGGTCTTCAGAATTTCCTCTGGATTCAACATCATAGTCTCCACTGTTTCATACACCTGTTCCTCACAATTAAGAGAATCCCATCTTTACCATCAGCTTCAATCAAAATTGTGGTTTGATGCTAGTAAATAAATATATAACAAAATTTGAAAAACGCTTTTGATTCCGCCCCGTTTCCACTGCACTCACGGCTTGGCTAGCAGACCAGCTGCTAGCGGTAGTGGGAATTCTCTCGTTACTTGGTCAAAGACTTGTTTGGATGTAAGATCTACTCTACATACATTTAATTTCATAGAAATATACTTTGAAATCTCATCAGAGCTAACCTGACAAATATCATCAACTTTGTTGCTCCAAAAGCTTCCTTGACAAGTTGCTACAGCATAGTCCTTGCACTCATAAAACAGCTTTGACAAATTATTATTTTTACCCAATTTTTCCTCAGCCATTATGAATCCTAGACCAAGCTGCAACAGAACAGAAGATAAGATAATGTGAGAATAGATAATGGTATCAGAGTGATAATTGATAGCTGACTAATTTGAGACATAAAAGGATCTTTCTAGTTACAAATATTCCAAACATGAAGACCATTAATTGGAAGAAATTTTATTTTGTAAGAGAAGTTTCAACAATTAGTTTTAAAACTCCACGAACTAAGATACGAAACTTTCACTGTTCAGAACCAAGCATATATCTCTCACAAGGAATGCCAGAACATATAACAATTACATCGCCATTGCAGGCTTATTGAATTGTATAGTGAAGAATCTGATTGTTTATTACTTTGTAGGACTAATACTATGCTAAAATGCTGGGCTTCATTCTTTTGTTTTTTTTTTTAGCTTCATTCTTGAGATCCAATCTGCTTAAATTGTTACTTTTTTAGATGACAAGATAAATTCGAGCTCTCCCGGTGGGCATAATATAAGATAATATGACGAAATGTAGTAATTATCAACTTACTAAAGAAATGAAAAGTGGTTCAAACAGCTCAGAAGGTGGCAAGTCCTCTAGATCATGCAGAATCCCTTCCCTGCATAGTATCAGAGTTCAGCGACACCATTTCAAGATCTTCATCTGTTATGTATGGAGCAAACAAACAATAATTTAAATCCTCCAACTTACACAACCAAATCCTCATCAAAGAGTGGTGTTTGTTTAACGGCAGGCACTGCTTTTGATGTTTCCCATAGTTCACGCCATAAATTACCTGGTATTGACAGAAATCATAAGACAGAGCATTATGGCATGATTCTCGATTCCCAAGTCCCGATACAAGGCTATTATAACTAGGAATCACAAGACCCAATTACATTCATCCACAAACGAATGCTCCTAATTAGTAACATTATAGCCACAGCATGCCAAAAATGAAGAACAGAAACAATCCCTTAATTTGAAGTTTAAACCCAGTATCCACATTCCAACTTATGAGAAATATCAGCACCAGGACAAAATTAAGTCACAGTGGACATCAGATAAAGGGCTACACCTTCTTTTTGCATTCGACTACTAAGTTGACCTCTTGAATCACTACCAACTGGAGAATCTATACTATCACTACTCGGGTCAGGTTCTGTCCAATCAGGAGGGGAGTGCCATCTTACAAAATCTTCCAAGATACAGCCAGGATTGGCAGCCTAATTAGAAGTAACTGCAAAGTTAGTCTACCAACACAAATCATCACAAGTATTCGGTTTATCAGTATGGTAGACAATACATATTGACAGTAAAAAAAGTAACCTTGAAAGCTTGCATGTCTGAAAGAAGCTGAGAACATCCAGCACCCACACTGAGCATTGGAGATTATGCAATTGTTAAGCAGAAATACTAAATGATATACTGATCAGACTAAAAATCTGGCGTGCAAATAATTTACCTTCCAGTTCGAAGAACAAACTCCTCTGTTTCTTTAATAACGTCTTCTGTTAGCAGAGGTCCTTCCTACAGTTATTAGTCCCCAAAAAGTAGGTTGGATTAAGCTTTTACATTCATCAACACTGAACAAAAAACCAAAATATCATTGGCATAACCTGTGTAACAGGAGAGTAAACTGCTTCACCAGTTTCCAACATTTTCAGGTCACCAAATGGGCAATCAGCACCCAGTCGTAGTGAAAGTTCCCCGTTATTAAGTTTAGCATACAAAACAGAGTTTGCAGGAACAGTGTCTTCAGACGCTCCTGATTCAGCATTTGAACTTGCCCTTACCACAGCATCTAATGAGTCAGTGGCTATCTCATGGCGTCTTTTGCGGGAGACACAACAATTGATAACCTGCAGTCGCTGATATAGAAGACATGAATTTAGATCTGGAATCTCATCAATTGGAATGCCAGGTATATACTGCTCCTCTGACCAAAATCTTCTCATCTGCAATAATAAAATGATTCCAAACAAACTTTATTAGTTACAGAAAAAAATGGTTGAGCTATCAGGTAACCATGAACTATGTTTTCGGAAAGAAGAAAACATGTGTAAATTCAAATTCCTTTCATCCATCTTACGAACACAAATTCTTCCTCCAAAATAAATAAGCTATCTAAATTTTTTTGGAAAGCTTGCATTAAAAAAATGTATTTTCATTATTTGTAACCATTCCTTAGATAACACATTCAAGATCTACAACGTGAACTCACTTCATCAACAACTCTGCACCAAAAAAGTGTCATTTTCCGTAGGGTTCTAAAGCTTCCTATAACTTCAGAAATCTTAACAAGAAGGCTATCTGGAGGAGCACCATGAATATCTCTAGGCAAGGATGTCACAATTGTTCCCTCTGAAGCAGAGCCAAAGCTCCTTTTGAGAAAATCTCCCTCTGCGCATATCTTGCAGATATTACAATGGAAGTGAAAGATCATTGCAAGAAAGTATGCAAGAAATTACAAGAATGGATTGTTGTTGCTCAAGTAAATCCATCACATATCACCTGGGATGTGCATGTACCTGCATCAAAGAGTGAACAAATCAAAGATTGAATCCTCGCATCATGATGAAATTCAGTTGAAATCTTTTCCTCCTTTTCACGAACTACCAATGCCCTCACTGCAGATAGACTCAACCCAGACTTCTCCCTTGTGGACGAAGAATCTCCTGATGAAGCAAGCAAACTCTTCATTGACTTGCACTTCTTTCCAGCCCTAGGTCAAAAGTATGGTTATTAAGGTAATTCGTCAAATGAAATATCAGTAACAACTTGCAATGCAGACTTATCAAATAGTTTATAGGAACATATCAATAATACCACCTGAACAAGGCTACCAAGTGGAAACAAATGAGGCAGAACAAATTCAACGCTTGGGAACCAAGTATGGGGGGCATTCTTTATCCTTTACTAGAAAATAGTTGTGCTAATACTAGATCAACCAAGCAAAACAAAAAAAAAAAAAAAATGGAAGCAAAATTATTGAAAATGTGAGAGAGAGGAAACTCACTCAACAGCTACAGCCAACTGCTTTATAACTGAAAAGGGAGGAATACTAGTTCGGTCAATCGCCAAAAAACTTTCAACTGATGGAATTACTTCTGCATTCTAAATAAATATCAGACTAGTTAGTATACGAAAAAAATCCATTCAACAAGAATCATAATTACATCACAAATATTATGATTAATTCAGGATCCGTCGACTATAATGGTCAAAGATACCTACGGACTCTCCAATGTTATGGGGTTTTCTTCCAGTTTACCTGATCTGGAAGGCTTGAACAAGGTAAATCCTTTCCTAATTGCTAGTGTAATGAATAATCTTTTCTTCTAATAAAAGAATAAGTTCAATGTAACATTAAGATTCGAATCCACTTACTACATGCCATGCTAGGTAAATTAGAACAATAGACATAAGACAGGTTCAGACGAAATACATCTTTTTCTGAACCAGAAACAAGATTTTCATTGATTAATGAAAAAGCCATACAATGTTCAAAGATGGTTCAGACGAAATACATCAGCAAACAAAATATATTAATGAATGTTTAATACCTTTGCTTCAATATCATTTTTCATGTTCAGCAGGTACAAATTCTCATCATAAAATGGTACAGACATGGTTGGATTTTCAACTTTTTCAGTATCCTCAACAGCTTTCCTCCCTATTCGTATGTTCTTGAATTTATCTTGCCAGTCGTGTTTAGTCCCAATGTTCGACGGTCTCCACCTAGAGTGCTTCGGCTCGCTGTGACTCTGAAACATCCCACATTGCACGAAAACAACGAAATTATTTTACAGCATCCACTTTTCAGATGGTCTGTTACTGATTCATTATATATGCACACTGAAAATCCTATTGAAAAAATATCCAGACTAAATGCAGATTATGAACGACCAGAGTTATAGACATTTCCACATTACATTAAAACGGAAAATTACATGCTCTGTATTTTTTTTCCAAGAAAAGTACAAAAGCTAAAACATCCGGTCAACCTGATATCCACTTCAGCTCACCAAGTTGACCCTTCCCAAATAAAAAAAAGGTCCTAAACATTTCCCTCTTTATCTTACCTTCTTTCACAGAAATCGAAACAGAAAACCATAACATAATTGCTTTAATTCTGCAAAATTGACGGCAATGGGCAACAAGGAATAATGAGCAGCTTTGATAATAGATTCTAAGGGGAAGTCAAATTGGTCAACAGAAGCAGGAAGAACGAATTGCAACTCCAGAAGAGAAGAAAAGAGAAGAACAACAACTAGAAGCTTACCTTTATCTCATGTTCGTTGGTGGAAATCTGTTCGTGGGGTGGTGTGACCAGATCCTCGGGTAGTCGTTTATCAAAATCTTGAGCGATTAAGGCAGCGGAATTGAGAAGAGGGAAAAGGGGATTAAGAATCCAAAAAAAGGGGGAGCAAATTTAGAGAAAGGGGGGATATTGTGCGTACCTCCTCGATCGGACTTGAAATCGAAGAAAACTCGCTCCGCTTTAGCAGCCGCGGAATGGAAGGCAGTCCTGGCTTTGGAAACAAAGGAGGGCGGGGGCGCCTCCATAATCCAATGACGCTTGCAAAAGCACACAATGGGAAAAAATGGGTGCGTCAAAGAAAGTATCGGGATTCAAATTGAGGCATCTGTCCCTTCAAACTTCAACCAACACAACAGATTTTTGGCTATGGAGCTTGGAGAATGGCCGATAAAAATCAGGACGCCATTGTTGGTAAATGCCTATGCTCTGCCTCTCTCTGGATGTCACCTTCAAAAATTACATTTTAAATTCTCTCTTTTTTATTATTATTATTTTCTTTTCATTATTGGAGTGTGTTGGTTTTTTCCTTTTATGATTGGTTCTCATCATGGAACTCATATGCCTCCATCTACATTGTAAGCTAAATAATAAATATATGATTTTGTATAGTGTCAATATCAGCATAGTGCAACGGATGCTCGGACCAGATGGTTGTATGAACTTTTGTGCTTTAATATAGAATAATATTCATATATTTCATTTCGAAATTAATTGACAATAAGAGAAATAAGATCGAAAGTTTAAAAGAAAAAATCAATTTTGTTTTTGTTCTAATATTTTTCAATATAATTCTATCGGTGAATATTAGAACATGCTAACTTACGTGACACAATATTTAAGATCATTAAGAGAAGAAAACTCGAATTCTTTGCTAATTTCTTAAAATTTTTGAAGAAAGATAGAAATTTCATAAATTCACTAGTATTTTCTTTTCTTTAAGTACAACATGGGGTGGGGGATCGAATTCAAAATCTCATGGTTGGAGGTATATGCTAATTACCGCTTAGCTAAAGCATAAATTCACTAGTATTATACCATGTAAGTGTATTATCATTCAATGTTAATATTTACAAATGGTAGGTCAGAGGGAATGAGTTCAAATCATAGTGGCCTATCTAGGATTTAATATCCTACAAATTACCATGTCATAGGATCAGACGGTTGTCTCGTGAAATTGGTCAAGGTGAACCTAAGCTAGCCTGGACACTCACCGATATAAAAAAAATTACAAATGGTGGGGACTAACTTGAAAATTATTAAAATATAAAAAAAAATTAAAGTGCAGCTTTTTAAATAATTAGGACTTAATCGAAAAACACTCAAATTAAAATATATATTTAGCCTAGCATTTATGTATCGTTATTTATATAAATGATTTTGGTAGAAAAAACTTCACTTCTGGAGAGGAAGAAAAAAAAAAGAACGAGAATGATAGGAACTATAAATGTTGCTATCTTATCATGGCAATCTCACCATTTTTAATTTGAGAAATTATCTCTAAATTTATGAAACCATTTTGTAATTAATTTTTTCTGTAATAACTCCTTGGTTGCAACTCAAAAAAATGAGTATTATATCCAAATTTATCAAATTGTTATAATTCTAACTCAACTATTAAGTGAGTTTTATTTTTTTTATTTTTAGCAACTATTAAGTGAGTTATAACGATAAGGTTTAATTGCGATATTAGTTTTAGTAGTACAATATGTAGCCAACGTACTTTTGCCAAACAAGATTGTCACCCACATACTTTCAAAAGTTCACTCCAAAATTAGAACYACAATAATTCCAACATGCTTTCAACATATTCAATCACAACATCGCAACAGCTTACATAAATACAACATAGTCATTCACAACACATTCATAGCTAGAGCCAATACATTAGATAAATATTCAGAAACATAATATTCAATAATAAGAACACATAATGGAACAAACAAACAAGCAAACTTTCACATCAAACATACAACAAAAATCCTCCCAGGTAAGATCTACTTACACAAGGGTGTTTTGAAGCTCCTAAATTTTGTCAGAATTTTCCTAATACAAAATACATCAGGAAATTGCGCTCAATGACCTAATATTGACCTCGTCAGATGAGATATGCTCACTTTTTGAAAAACTTGTTATTCTAAGTTTTTGCTTGTGTCATGTGAAATTACATTTTGCCCCTTCCCAACTATTTCTTCATTATTTTTTTTCCTTTTGTTTTCTATTAAGTTCATTTTTTTAGCCAACCCATAATTCCTAAATCTTCTCTTTTCCAAAATTTTTTTGGCCATTTTGTTTGGTGAATTTTATTCCATTTTTATTTATTAACTATTTCTTCTTCTTTTTTTCTATTGAGTTCAATATTTTTACAAGAATCTCTCAAATTTCTCCAAGTAATAACATAATTTTTGCGCTGTTAATTTTATTTCATTTTTATTTGTTCACTTTAATTTCTTTTTTTTCCTTTGACCTTGAAATCAAAATTTAATTTTTTTCCCCACTCGAATTACCCACTTTTTGCTTCACTTTCATGTTTTCTAAATTATTTTTTTTTCTCATATCTCTACCTCCTATTGCCACAGCTGAGACGACTTCTCCCATTCCAACCTTGAGAGTCATCTCTCCAGCTTCAAGCTACCTCCAGGAACTAATTCCCTGAAATGAAGAACAAACATGGTTACTGGCTCCTGAATCAAGTATTCAGGCTGAATAATCGTTCTCCACTAATGATACGTGACAACTCAAGCGTATTGAGCTACTCGAGCCACAAGCCACTTGAATCCAATCATATAGTTGGTTCAACCCGAAAGGCCAAGGTTAAAGGGATTACCTTTGCAGTCGTTACCTTGAGCAAACAAATGACTCACTATGCTCGAGGCCGGAAACACTCCATGAGTTTGATGACCAATCAAACAACCATGCTCCGAGGGGTTCAAATACGAAGGCCTAAGTTCAACCACATAAAGGGATTCGAAATTTGAGAGGGATTTGCACAAAGCAAGGAAAGAAACACTCAACTCTATTGATTCAATTCGAAAATTCTAAGGTCTCTTACAATGGAGGGGAACAAGCCTATTTATACGCTAAGGCCCTTGGCCCTTTAAAGAAAATAACAAAATTAAAAAAGGAAATTAAAATTGATAAATTCCTAAAAAGTCTAAAACTTGCCTAAAGATGAAATTTAAATTTGACAAATAAAACAATAAATCAAAAATAAATCCTAAATCAAATCTCCCGAGAATAAACCAAAATCATAAGGAGAGACATTCCTTATTTGGGAGGAGTGGGCGGCAAGGTATGGCTGGTAAGGGTGGCGCACGCATGAGCGTTGGAGTGGGACGCGCTGGGTGGGCGGCATGGGCGCTGGGCGCTGGGGCAGGC